ATAGATGCCTAAATTTAGTGTAGGTTCTGTTTATTAGGGAGCAGATTGAGTAGTATTATACTTATACAACGTACTGTATACTCAGGGTGGGCAAAAATTACGGTAACAAGAGCGCTAACAAACATCTCGATTTCCTTCGAACCTAATAAATGCATCTGGCTGAAGAGACCCCGGAGAGAAATCACTGGACACAACAGCAAGATAGACCGCCTGTACACAAAGCAAATATTGTGCAACATTGGTTTTGCAGAACTTTCCGAATTCATGACATTAAACGAGGGGCAACCTTATTCTCCCGTTTTAAAGCAAGTGGGTTATTTTCCGTGGAGTCTACTGAAGACGATGGGCTACTACGAGTATCACTAAAGCATCGATGAATTAAAGAAGATCCTAGGGAAAGCTCGATGTCACCTACCTACACAACAGGCCATATGCGTTCCCGAGATGACTTCATTCAGGTATAAACGCAAACAGCGGCCAGTCCAAGAAGTGATGTTGTATTCTGTTTGGTAACTTCCTATGAATACATTGTTGGGTCCACGTGTGTCTTCCTGGCCGCATTGCTTTTCCATGAACACTTTATCTTGTTACCGTAATTTTTGCCCACCCTGTACACCGAAAGTGCAATTCGGATAAACAGTAGAGACAAACTATAGAAGATAACTGATTAAGTGATTGCCGAGATCGTCCCATAAGAGGGGCATGTGCTGGCAGCACTTTTTTGGTCTAGCAAAGAACGCGAAAGGGTGGCCCAGAGGTGCTTACGTGGACTATCTACTGGGAGCTAACAAGTTTGGTTGACACAAGCAGGGATAGAGAGGTGATATAATACATACTTTCTGCAAGACACAGGATCGGCATACATTGCCTTTCTATACTCTGTAGTCAGTGCTGCTCAAGATATGGTGTCGTTAGAAATTGTGGCCAAGTCCGCGCAGGTAAGGAGGAAAAAAATCTATATGCAAGAAAAATAGTGCTGCTAAAATAAGCACGTTTTTCGCAAATGGACTCTTGCGCCCACGCCGTCATCGCACCTTAACCGTGCGTTCCATGTCGACCATCTATCTTTCTTGCGAACACTACATAAAAGTTTTGATAAGATGTTATACGCCGAAAGTACCTCCACTCTGGTTCATGCTTAGCTGGCTTCTGGGTTTTGAAACTTCATCGCGTTTTACTCAGCTAACGCCGAGCGCTACGATGATCGTGCCTCCATCAAAAAAAAACCCCGACACTTACTTGATCGAATTCGCCCATCGAAATTCGATGGAGTTTCATTCAGTGTTAACATTCAGTCTCACCGCTCATTTATCGAAACAGAAGCATCATTCTGAGAAAATGCGGTAAAATGTTACAGAATGGTGCACTTTCTGTTTCTGCAATGATGATGACCTTCTGAGCATTTTTTAGAACTGATAGGAGAGCGCTGTGTCTTTAAGGCTAGATTAATCAATCAAGCAGCTGAATTTGAAAATAAGAGAAGTTTCAAGTCGAAACAAAGTTCAATTACTGCCAGCAGAAATCTTTCCGGCAAACAGCCGATATTCCGACTAATAGGATGTTGTGCACTGAATGTGTGAATGAACGAGGAGGCTCTAGTCCATATTAGCCAAAATGACCAAACAGGACCCTTTGTGATATGATGATCATTCGTTCTGCCCTTTCGTTACCACTTTATTAACTACTTTGTTACCACTTCGTTTCACTTTGTTTCGATTCTTCCTATCTCCATTGTTACTCAACTTTTGTTCCTGTCGCCCTTCCCTCTAACTTTCACATTTCCCATGTCTATCTTATTAATCATTTTCCCTGAATCTATTTACTCACCTCCTCTTCTCTAATTTTCTCGTTTCGCACGTTTTTCTCGTTCGGCTCGGACAATGAATCAGGCGCACTCCATCACCCAGCCTGCATTATTATTGTAATGATAATGATACTCTATCATTATTGGTAACGTTTTGGCTGATGAGACACAGTTTATTCCTGTAATCCGAGTACTCTCGATCGAAACGCCAAGCCCTATGAAAATCCTGCTGATCCAGTGAGAAGTCGAGAACCCAGAAAACGCCAATTGAATCGAGTCAATCATCTTGTGTTTCTCTACCCTTCATCCATCAGTCTTTGCTCATATTTCTCGTATTTCTTCTTTTTGACACCATTTTCCTACATTCTCAATAATAATAACAGCCCTCAAACCACTTCCCCCCCCCAAACACCCACAAAAGAGAAAAAAGTAAAAAAAAAACAAAATATATCTACCAAGCAATTCAACACTAAACATTTCACATTGACTGCACATGTAGAAATAATTTTTTGCCACAGCATCTATTACCATATTTTACCTTATTTATCTTTATTTCGTAGTTAGTTTATACTGTGATTTTCTTTTCTTTTCTTATTTAATAGCTTATTTTGTTATTTATGCTCTTTAGTTTACATGAATTTGAACGCACAATTTGCAATGCCCATAATAAGCCACAATGCACTTCCTGATACGTTGTGCGCCACTCGCCACGCCTTCAACTAAAAGTATTTACCACCATTCAGCAAATCTTGTCCCGCGCTCCAGTGCAACAACGCGTTCGACCTAATCACTTCCTTCAGGGTTCGTTTTCGCACACCGCCGTAAGTAATTGGCAAAATATGGAGCGAAAAACCCTTGCGAAAGATCCACTGCTCCAAGCTCCTGTCCAAAAGTAATCCTAGCTGGGGCTTTTGACATCGCCACTTCAACTAAAAGTTTTCACCTTCAGCAAACGTCGTCCAAGTGAACGCGTCGATCTTCACTTCCTTCCAGGGTCGTTTTGAACCCGTAGAGAGCAAAAATGAGGCGGAAAACCTGAGAAAAATCCACGCTCAAAGCTCTTGTATCATGGGGTTAAAACCTTTTGAGGACTTGTGTAGTAGCGGAGAACTGGGTATTTCGCTATCACATAAACTGTCGAAAACATGAATATTGTCTATGGAGCAAGTACGATATTCGTTGGAGCAGCCGTAATCAAATCTTCTGAAGCTCTGTAAACCTAAAAGAAGAGGGCCTATATTCGAACTTGATCTGAATGTCAGCACGTCGTAGCGAAGGCTTGGCAGTAGACAAACTCAAATTCTGTAAATGTAACTGTAAATTCCCCATCAAAGGAGATTCTATCTCATCCTCACTTAGCTATTTGCAAAATAAATACTTCAATCGAACTGGCCCAATCAATGATTTCGTGCCGAACAAATAGTTAGACCGCACTTTATGAAACAGAGGTGAAAATCTACATCTATGCTTTTTAAGATACGAACCATGATGGTGGCACGAGTGAAAGCCGATTCACGGGTGGTGCGAAGTGAACCGCCCACGTACGTTTCTATCAATGTGAGTTCAACTAAAATCCAGAAACTAAATAACTGTGAAGAAATGAAAAACCAAAGAACCTTCAGGAGGAAAGCGAGCATTCCGAAGTGGAAGAACAGGAGGAAGAAGTTGAAGAACCTGGAGGAAAAGTTGGAAAGTTTGTGCCCAGCAGAAGGAGCCACGATGAGGCGCCTACGCACAAACCTCGCTATGTAGGAAGAATTGTGAAGTTTTTGCAGTTGCGCGAGCTAATTTGACAAATTTCAGCCTCGAGAGGACACATTTACACGAACAGTCTCCGCTCAGTCACTCCCTGTGAATGATCGCCTGGAGGAGCTCTCACAAATGAGCATCTATGATAGGACCCTTCACATGCTTGCAGTAGACCCTATCTATCAAAAAGAGGTGTGCATTCATTTCTCTTACTACTCTGTTCATATGGCATAGAGAAAGCTTCCGCACTTAAAGGACGAATTCACGATGAAAAAGCAACCCATTTCAAATTAACCTAGGGATGGTGAGTGGTACACGAAAGAAGGAAGAACCATGAGAAACGGCCCAGAACCCGAGAAATGGTACCCCCTTCCTTGCCCGTTGATTCGAGCATTGATGCGACTCTCATCGCTGTGCCCTCTTCAACACTACGCTCTCTCAGCTATCTAATCACTCGCCACGTATTGAACTACGGCGAGTGATCAGATGATCGGTGGGCGGAGATCGCCGGACCCGCCAGCTTTGAGGCATGATAGGTCGCCTTGGTTCATAAATTTTTATTTCTTTCTTTAAAGGAGGAATTCACGATTAGAATGAAGGTCGAAGAAAGGGAAACTGACCTAGTTGAGGGACCCACGGACCTCCTGAGGGTGCGAACTGACGCGCAATTCGCATGGAAAAATTTGACCTCGGCGACCTATCATGCCTCAAAGCTGGCGGGTCCGGCGATCTCCGCCCACCGATCATCTGATCACTCGCCGTAGTTCAATACGTGGCGAGTGATTAGATAGCTGAGAGAGCGTAGTGTTGAAGAGGGCACAGCGATGAGAGTCGCATCAATGCTCAAATCAACGGGCAAGGAAGGGGTCCCATTTCTCGGGTTCTGGGCCGTTTCTCATGGTTCTTCCTTCTTTCGTGTACCACTCACCATCCCTAGGTTAATTTGAAATGGGTTGCTTTTTCATCGTGAATTCGTCCTTTAAAAGGGCATGCCTCCGATGATGTCAGGATGATGTTAAGCTCTCAGGGGACATCTACTCTCCTGAAACTGGTTAATCGGAGTTCCTTAGAATGATCGATATAAGGCTAATTCGAATTAATGTGTTTACAGGTAGCACTCGGAAAACGGATAGGTTTTTATCGACTAGGCAAAGAGCTCGGTGCAGGAAATTTCTCAAAAGTGAAGCTAGGAATCCATGTTCTAACTAAAGGTGAGCCTTTAATCTCACGATCTACTTACGGAACAAAAAACAATTGAAAACTTACAAAAGGTGAAGTAAGGAGGCTATCCAGTCGATTCAAAATCAAGTAGCATCTCGAAGCATCATAAAGCATTCAGCGCTGATCACTAATTTCGCGATCGCGCCACGCATTATACTTCCATTTTCGCAATGGCACTTGGATGCGAATTGGCTTCTACAATGACTTCTGGAGCAGAGTCAACGTTGCGTAGCGTTTCTGAACGAGGGGGAGAGATGGGTCCTATTTTGGGTTGCTGAAGGTCAAAAGGTGTAGGAAGGGCGTATTCTTGGTAGCTGAAAGGGTTTCGTGGTAGTAGACAGTAAAAAGGTGGGAGGGGGGAGGGTGTTTGAATATTCTCCTCCCGCGTTCGACGGTCGTTTTGGAGGTAAAAAGTGGGCGAATTTGGACTGCGCTGACTGGTCTCATGGTCAAATACTATGGAAAGAGCAATGATGGCGAAGGTCGTAAGGGCGGTAGTGGTGTAGTGGCAGTTGGCACGCTTACCACGCGAGCGGTCCGGGGACCAAATCCTGGGTCGTGAGTCGCCCGGGCCAACCAAGAC